CTATTTAATTATATCACTCGGCGCTGGTGGGAGCCTTTGTTCTCCGGACCATTCGAAGCACTCGGTAGCTGTGATGATTGGATTCGATTTGTTGGAGTATTGATGTGCCATTGCTCCGATATGTTCCAGGCTCCCTTCGAGTTGCGTGGTTTGTGCTAGGAAAACTGCCCTTATCATCCATGTCCGGCTTCCGTCGTCGTGTAGGGTCTCAGTGATGGGAGCATCGTTTGGTGTTCGGGGGGGCAGCAAAGCGGCTAAGCATTAGGCCTCTTGAGGGTCTCTTTTTTGCGGATATACCATGAGCTTCACCGAAAGGAAGAGAGCTAACCTGACTGCTTCAGGTTGCTTCAGGTTCGATTTTTTTTTGGGGGGGGGGGTGGAACTTTGGCCATGAACCAGTCAGTTGCTGCTCCAAAACTGAATGGAATCTACTTTGCCCAGGGTTGTTGACACTCAAACTATCTCCAAAAGCTTAGACTCTGACTGATGGCCCCCCTGCTAGTCCCCCTGCTTCAGCTCCAGACGGCCGGACATCCATGGCCGCAGGTGATTGCACTGAGCTATGTTCAGTTTGACGTGTTTCTGGGCAGATTCTTGAAGAAGGCTGAAGGCTTTGAAGGTGTTTTTTTGTTGGCATCCTACCAGTCAAGTTGAAGGTACTTGAGAGGTTTGAGGTCGAGGTGTCGACGTCGAGGTTGAGGTGTCGAGTGTGTTTGATGTGAGACAAAGGCGATGCAAGGCCTTACCCCGTAGACCATGGATTCGATCAAGTGTATTTGCATTCAATTCACCAATCTATTATACATATAAGTATATTATAAGTGAGCAGAAGTTCTATCACCGAACCTAACCCTAACCCCTAACTTAAACCCACCCACTCTATGCTCTTTCTTGCCCTGCCGCGGACTTCTTTAAAGCAATACATCATGCGACGTCGCACGGCTAAGCCTCTGTCTCATGGGACGCGCGCATACGGATGTTTGAGACGGTGTCCGTGACAACCCTGTGGGCCTTTGGTCCTTAAGACCCACGTTTGTTTGGTAGATACATCAAGCTATCTACACGACTGGGCGAAGAGCCTGGCCGTTGGCACTCGAGACGGAATCCCAGGCTTCGCCGAGCTTTGCAAGCGGCAGAAGACCAGTCACAGCGGCAGGCATTGCTCTCTGCTTTGATTCGAGCGTTGCACAGCGCCTGGAATGCAGATGTTGCCTGGAAATGCCTAAAGAAGCAAGTTGGAAGGGTAGAGGTCGCAGAGGAAGCCAGGAGCAGGAGAGTGTTTTTGAGGGAATCAAAGAGTCATGCATTCTGTAGGGAATATAGGTACAGGGAATATATAATGGCGCGCCTCCGGCTTCCTAATCAGCGAATCCAACATGGGGAGAAAGGAAGAACATGAGGTCACAGGATAGAATTGCCTGGACAACTTGAGTCACCCTCACCATTGCAGTCCTAAAACTGAGGTGTTGGCTTGAACCACTAGATGGGGTTTTGCAATATAACGCCGGTTTGTCTCGGAATAAGGTGATGCTAGAGACATCCAGAAACCACGTGGCACTGGTAGTAAGATATATATATACTATACTATATGTATATATATTATAGATGAAGGTGGGTTTGTCAAACTGTGTGAGGTAATGCAAGATTCTGTTGGAGGATATGTTTTAGCAACCTTTGCACTTTGTGCTGGTGCAATTTTTGCCCTCCTACGCACAAAGGCATACGCAGCAAACAAGGACATGGTTCAGTCGTGTTTCCTCTACGCGCAGCAGCAACAACAACAACAACAACAAACACGACATAAAACAACCATAAACGACCTGATTTTTTGGCGCAATTAGATGCAATAAGGGTGATTGTTTTATATCCCCGACTGGGTGAATCCCCACATAGTTTGAGCGAAGATTGCGGCAGTTCTTTCTGGTTGGAATTAACCATGATCAACCCGCAGGACAGCGGCAACCGGGACGCCGCCAAAGTTCTGCGGATGCTGTGCCGGACTTTCAGCTGGCTCATGGTGCAGGCGGCCGCTGGGGAGCAGTAAGTTCATCTTCCCTGTAGGGATCCACATACCTGACCTTCTCAGAAGGTACTTCGGCCCTCGAAGCCTACATAAATGGCCAATCACCGTACCTCAGGATCGGTATATGGAGCCATAGGGCTTAAGCGGTTGAAGTGCTTGGAGATAGTTGTTTCAAGTTCGAGCACCCAACTCAAATTGCCGGCTCACTTATCCTTTTACTTTTGTGTTGGATGGGCTCAAAATGGCCCAAATTCAGCATCCAGGTGGAGAGGGAAGCCCAATGAAGGGCTAGAGGCTAGTTTTTCACTCACTTCTCCAAGACCCAGATGCCCCAAACCTGGTTGACACCTTCCGGAGACCTTGTGGCTACAGCTGCGATCTAAGAAGGCTATTTTGACCGCAGAAACACAAGACAAGAACCTCTCTTCCCTCTTTCCCGCCCCCCGCCACAAGACGCCAAACTTTCCACGCGGCTTCCCCACCATGTTGGCTCCCACTGCGCCCTGAGGGCTTCGACGGAAGTCCCTTCCTCGCAGAGTCCCTGAAACCGCTGGCAGCCGAGTGCCTCCGGCGCGCGAACAAGCGTGGGGACACCGTGAAGAAGGTGGGCCAGGGGCTCCGCCACAGGCGGCGCTGAACCGGGTCCTGGGGGGGGGGGTTTTGGCGGCCAAGTGACGGTGATGGACAGGAAGAGTGGAAGTGAGATCAACGCCTTCCGGTACAGAGCTGAAGACTCCAAACCTCAAGGCCCGGACTCAGAGCGGAGTCCGGGTGTCCGGGTGTCCAAGATGCCACCAACATAAAACGTGCATTCAATTGTCCAGTGGCCAGTTCCAGTTTTTAGTTCGTTTCCTTACGAAATCATGGCCGACGCCGGGCCAACCCTGCTGCCTCACAGGCCAGCAGTCAGGTCCAGACAGATGGGTGTAGCGCCCGGTGTGGTCCATGTGGCTCCAACAAGACAAGAAAATATCCTGCGGTGAATGGAGTCTGAGCTATGACCAGACTTGCTGTACCAAATATACGTGCATTATCTTGCCTCGACACGTTTTCAATTGATCTATTTGGTAAGTTGGCAGCCTCATGAGGCTTCAGGAGGGTTTTCCATGAGGGTGGGAAGTGTTTGCGTGGGAAGTGCCAACACCCATGCAGGGTGTTTGGAAGCCCCTCCCTATGGCTGCTACATCTGTTAGCGAGGGGAGGGTTTCCCAGCTATACCTTGGAACTGCCAAGGATGCCAGGAAAGTGCACATGATGCTAGTAATGCCGTTTGTGGCGCTCGGATGCACTGGCATCATGCTCGTCCTGCATCCAAGACGTCAAAAGTGCCGGTTTTGTGTTTTTCGGCACTTTTGACTGTTTTTCGTGCTGTCAGATTTTCACGATTCTGACGCCTGGGAGATTTGGAATGAACGGAAAAGGTCATCCAATCCTGACTCACGCGCCTCAAAAGCCATACAGGTGAAATTGACGGCACCACCGCATCTGCTGGGAAATGCCGATCTCTGGTACATCTATTACTGTCTCAGGTCTGGCAGGCTTGGGGTGGACAGTGGTCATTCCTCAGAGTGATTCTAACCTGATACCATGTTGGCTCAAGTGTGATCCAAACTTGGCGCCGGCAAGGCTGGTACCTGGCTTTTGGGCAAGATCCGCAAGTACCAACTCCTGTCGTCCTAAGACTTCAACTGTCTGCGAACAGCGTGTGATGATGGCAAAACATGGAAGACTGGCATGCAGGGCCCCTCAACCTGACATTCCAAAAGATTTGCGCTATACGCTTGCGCAAGGATGCCTCTCAATTGTCCTCTTCAGGTTGAACAACCCAGGATATGGTCATTTGTCGCTCCGCATGTGTGATCTTGTTTTTTTGTGGCTATCCCTTGATCAAGTCCTGTTCCCCTTCACTGTTGAACTTCTACCCCGGCTATTGCTGACCGAGTTGATTGATATGAGCAGCATTCGCTGTGGTGTTTGATGAAGCGGCCCAATTGGTCCGTAGCTTTTTCTGGTTCCTGCAGCGGATGTCCAGTGATCAGTGTACTAGCCCGTATGGCGAAGTCTTTCCGCTTGGTGTGGGCGAAGAGGCTGCCACGCAAGGCCAAGAAAAAAGAAGACCCACAGGCCAATCAGCAATTGGCTGAGTGCCAGCCTGACTTCCGGAGAGTTGCCCGCAAGCGGCCTGCTCATGTGCAATCCAATGCGCCCGCACACTACACCCCACCTCCCTTTGCCCAAGAAAGAAAAGTAGCGCAGCCTGCCAGCAGGGCTCAACGACTGGCTGCGGGTCGCACTCCAGCCAGATTGGCTGCGCTGATGCGCACACATCTTTTCAGCAAACCCATTTCTCTCCAAGCAGGGTCGTTGCGACCTTCGGGTGGGCTTTTTGCCACTTGGGCAGGAACTCCGGCTTTCATCGTGAGCACTTTCTCCAGACATAATGTGCCCCACGCTGATGTGGTTGGCCTACGGCAAAAAAAAGGATGGCTCCAACTTATGGAATGGTCGTTTGTCGCAGGCCAACACCCATACGATAAAGCAGGAGGACTTGTTTCATGTCGGCTTGCACTATCGCTTGCTGCGCAAGCAAACTAAAATGAGTTCTTGCTTGTGTTCCTTTGCTTGCATTGAACGCCTTATGAGTTCGTTTTGTTCGTGACACTAAGTGTAAACCATGCAGGGTCAATCTGTTCGGCAGACTATCGGATGTGAGGCTTTGCTCAAAACGCAGACGCTCTCGCTGCTGTGGATGCAAGGGCCGCTCAAGTTTGTAGATGGGTTGCTCAGCGTGTGGCGCAGGCGCAGCCAGGGTGTGTTGAGCATGAGGCCCAGGCAGTCCATGGCCCCCTCGCCGCAGAGCCCATACTGCCAAAGCCTCAATTGACTTCAGTACTGGGGAACTGTGCCTGATGTTAAACTTCCCATGTCCTTCTCAATCTTCCCCTAGCAGCAAAGCGTGCACTGCACCTGGCCTGAGGTCTAGCAGACTCCAGGAGCACCTACAAAAGCAGCGGGACTTGGGTGAGCCACACGTTGCTAAACCTAGACATGCGGCTGATCGCCGTAGCAGCGTGTGCGTCTTAGACTTGCCACTTCCTCAGACCCTGCGCTGGCAGCCGCAGCGCTGTGACACCTGCAGATTGCTGAGAAGTGGCCTCGCAGCTTTTGCAGTGACAGACGCTGACATCATGGACGCGGCTCCTACAGTTCTACGCCACGATCCAAAGAGCCAAGGGGTCAAAGAAAAGCCTGTCTTCTTCACAAGGCCGTGGCTCCTGCACGTACTGCAGAACTTCAATGAGTCACTGTCCGCGCGCCAAGTGAGGCGGACTCTCATGCAGGTCTACAGCGCAAATCTTTTGGCAAGCCAATTTAAGGGGCCCTGTGTGTCAATCTTCCATGCTTTGCCATCATCACACGCCCTGCGCAGCGTCATTCTCACATCCTTGAACCAGTACTTGGACTCACGTGTGCGGCAGGTGCAGGCGCTGGTGTGTGTTTACTCCGGCCAACTAATCCGTGGAGATGGACATTGGAAGCTGGCCCGGCGAGTTTTCTGCCCCAAGCAGAATACGGCTGACCACGGCCGACGTCCTTTCACTGCTTTGTCTCATGTCTGCAAGAGTGTGTGTCTCATCTAAGCGGTTCTGTTTTTTCTACCATGCGCACCACGCCTTGAGTGCAACCCATTGAGGCTAGCATGGACGGGGTTGGATGGAGCTTTGTTGGCTCCGCCAACCATTGCGCACGGGGAGAGCATCGAGGAGTTGTTACTTGACTTGAGGCCGCTGATGATGGCTATCAAGGAGCATCGGATGGCCGCTGGATTGACCTTTGAGGAGAGTATGGTCGTCGCGCACGCCACTGATAGCTGGAGAAAACACAGGCATAAACTTCAAAGCTTCTATGAGGACATCTACGCCGAGGGTAGAATCAAGGCCAGGGCAGACACACCCAAGGCCGAAAGCGCCGTGGCCGAAGCTGGGGGTCAGCTCCTAGGCGCATTGATCACTGGGGATCCACTCCATGATGTGATCAACTTCCGCAAGCTTGTGGCTGCTCACGCCTGTGACGCCACCGACCTGATCTATGACCACCAAGACGTGATGAATCGGTTGTCAGCTAAGGTGGTGGAGGGCGAAACTACTCAGTGGCCAACTCCCCCGCCTTTGCCAGGCTATGCGCATTCCTTGCTTCGTATGGGGATTGAGCAGCCTGTCTCCACCTTCAAGGATGCCATGACCAAACGAGAGAATGAACCCACGTGGAAGGAACTTTTTAAAGCAAACCCTCCCAGAGGAACGTTGGCCAGACTGGCGAGGAGGTGCCAGGCAACCTTGCACGAGAGCACATGCTTTCGGAACTACGCCTCCGTCAAAGCATTTAGGGCTGAAATCAAACGAGTTCGAGCCTGGTACAGACGCCCGCGTCGGCAATCCCGACCTTTCCGGGGAATCAAGCGGAGTCGGGCCCAGAGATTACACGTTCGTGGCATTAAGAAGGTGTGGACAGGCAAGGTCGCAAAGCATTACAGGATCTTGCTCAAAAGCCGGGTGCCAGCCTTGTGGGCGTGGCGCCAAGTGGCCCTTGACGTGCACAACATCAAGGTGCCCGTTCAATCTGGCACCCAACCTACAGAAAGGCTTTGGAGCTGCCTGCTTGACATGTTACCGGCAGCTGGTCGCACTGTTTCGGTACAGTGGTTCCAGATGCTCTCTAAGCTAGCCTTCATTCGCTACAACCATGGGCATTTTTGCCGGGGTAGCTTGCCCACATGGTGCGAGCGGGATTCGCTCCTTTTGCAACGAGGAGATGCTTTGAGGGCTCTCCTTTTTGATGAGGATCCAGATCTGGACCACTTGCTCCCGCTCATGGAGCCCTTTTTGAAGGCCAACCCGTCGTAGAGCTGCTGACGCAGTTTTTCTTGGCCGCGCGATGAGAAAAGTGCAATTGTGGCCACAGGTTTTTTGATGTTGGGCATGGCACCGTCTCTCACATGAACTCATTTAAAGAGACATGAAATGCATTCTATACACGCACTCTGAATGTTCTTCCTTATAATCCTGCCGAATGCTTTGGAGCACTTGCTCCAAAGGCTCTGCCACGGATTAGTTGGCCGGAGTAAACACACACCAGCGCCTGCACCTGCCGCACACGTGTGTCCAAGTACTGGTTCAAGGATGTGAGAATGACGCTGCGCAGGGCGTGTGATGATGGCAAAGCATGGAAGACTGACACACAGGGCCCCTTAAATTGGCTTGCCAAAAGATTTGCGCTGTAGACCTGCATGAGAGTCCGCCTCACTTGGCGCGCGGACAGTGACTCATTGAAGTTCTGCAGTACGTGCAGGAGCCACGGCCTTGTGAAGAAGACAGGCTTTTCTTTGACCCCTCGGCTCTTTGGATCGTGGCGTAGAACTGTAGGAGCCGCGTCCATGATGTCAGCGTCTGTCACTGCAAAAGCTGCGAGGCCACTTCTCAGCAATCTGCAGGTGTCACAGCGCTGCGGCTGCCAGCGCAGGGTCTGAGGAAGTGGCAAGTCTAAGACGCACACGCTGCTACGGCGATCAGCCGCATGTCTAGGTTTAGCAACGTGTGGCTCACACAAGTCCCGCTGCTTTTGTAGGTGCTCCTGGAGTCTGCTAGACCTCAGGCCAGGTGCAGTGCACGCTTTGCTGCTAGGGGAAGGCTGAGAAGGACATGGGAAGTTTAACATCAGGCACAGTTCCCCAGTACTGAAGTCAATTGAGGCTTTGGCAGTATGGGCTCTGCGGCGAGGGGGCCATGGACTGCCTGGGCCTCATGCTCAACACACCCTGGCTGCGCCTGCGCCACACGCTGAGCAACCCATCTACAAACTTGAGCGGCCCTTGCATCCACAGCAGCGAGAGCGTCTGCGTTTTGAGCAAAGCCTCACATCCGATAGTCTGCCGAACAGATTGACCCTGCATGGTTTACACTTAGTGTCACGAACAAAACGAACTCATAAGGCGTTCAATGCAAGCAAAGGAACACAAGCAAGAACTCATTTTAGTTTGCTTGCGCAGCAAGCGATAGTGCAAGCCGACATGAAACAAGTCCTCCTGCTTTATCGTATGGGTGTTGGCCTGCGACAAACGACCATTCCATAAGTTGGAGCCATCCTTTTTTTGCCGTAGGCCAACCACATCAGCGTGGGGCACATTATGTCTGGAGAAAGTGCTCACGATGAAAACCGGAGTTCCTGCCCAAGTGGCAAAAAGCCCACCCGAAGGTCGCAACGACCCTGCTTGGAGAGAAATGGGTTTGCTGAAAAGATGTGTGCGCATCAGCGCAGCCAATCTGGCTGGAGTGCGACCCGCAGCCAGTCGTTGAGCCCTGCTGGCAGGCTGCGCTACTTTTCTTTCTTGGGCAGAGGGAGGTGGGGTGTAGTGTGCGGGCGCATTGGATTGCACATGAGCAGGCCGCTTGCGGGCAACTCTCCGGAAGTCAGGCTGGCACTCAGCCAATTGCTGATTGGCCTGTGGGTCTTCTTTTTTCTTGGCCTTGCGTGGCAGCCTCTTCGCCCACACCAAGCGGAAAGACTTCGCCATACGGGCTAGTACACTGATCACTGGACATCCGCTGCAGGAACCAGAAAAAGCTACGGACCAATTGGGCCGCTTCATCAAACACCACAGCGAATGCTGCTCATATCAATCAACTCGGTCAGCAATAGCCGGGGTAGAAGTTCAACAGTGAACAGGACTTGATCAAGGGATAGCCGCATAGCCACAAAAAAACAAGATCACACATGCGGAGCGACAAATGACCATATCCTGGGTTGTTCAACCTGAAGAGGACAATTGAGAGGCATCCTTGCGCAAGCGTATAGCGCAAATCTTTTGGAATGTCAGGTTGAGGGGCCCTGCATGCCAGTCTTCCATGTTCTCGCCATCATCACACGCTGTTCGCAGACGGTTGAAGTCTTAGGACGACAGGAGTTGGTACTTGCGGATCTTGCCCAAAAGCCAGGTACCAGCCTTGCCGGCGCCAAGTTTGGATCACACTTGAGCCAACATGGTATCAGGTTAGAATCACTCTGAGGAATGACCACTGTCCACCCCAAGCCTGCCAGACCTGAGACAGTAATAGATGTACCAGAGATCGGCATTTCCCGGCAGATGCGGTGGTGCCGTCAATTTCACCTGATGGCTTTTGAGGCGCGTGAGTCAGGATTGGATGACCTTTTCCGTTCATTCCAAATCTCCCAGGCGTCAGAATCGTGAAAATCTGACAGCACGAAAAACAGTCAAAAGTGCCGAAAAACACAAAACCGGCACTTTTGACGTCTTGGATGCAGGACGAGCATGATGCCAGTGCATCCGAGCGCCACAAACGGCATTACTAGCATCATGTGCACTTTCCTGGCATCCTTGGCAGTTCCAAGGTATAGCTGGGAAACCCTCCCCTCGCTAACAGATGTAGCAGCCATAGGGAGGGGCTTCCGAACACCCTGCATGGGTGTTGGCACTTCTCAAGCAAACACTTCCCACCCTCATGGAAAACCCTCCTGAAGCCTCAT